TGGTTTGAATTTATTTGAACACAAAACTTAGGAAATTATTGATTTATTGATTGATAGAACCAACACAGCAGCAGCCTTACAAAAAAATGTTAAGCCAAAAGTTAATTGATAAGCCAAGCTTATGAAGAGCTAGCGAAAAGCCACAGCTTCCCATGAATTTGTTTGTTTTTATATAAGGTCCTATATGTTATTTTCGATTAAAAAAGGGTAAGTATTTAGTTCGTAATTATAGAAGGTTCCTTCATTTTGACTGTTGTATTTCTAAACGTATTTTGTATGTATGTACTTCATTATGCAAGCAATTTTTTCTAAACTTTCTAAATGTCTCATTATTCACTTTGTATCGAAAACATGCTCGAAACTAAATGTGCACTTCCTTTATTGACGTTGTTCCATTTTACATTTGTTACAAAATGTTCGAATATTATACAAATACAACAGAATACAAATCGCATGCATACAAATATTTATACGTATGCATTAACTAACAAATTGTTAACGTTTTAAGCAACAAAAAAAAAAACTGAAAACATATTTAAATGATACACGAAAAATGTTAAAATGCACTGCACAGCAGACAATTTTTTGCACTATATATACATATATAATATATATTTTTATGGTATACATGGCACGAAAAGAAAACTACTACAAATGCTGAAGAGATTTATTGTGAAAGAATAGCCGAGAATTTATTGAGCACGCCAAAATGCACCTCGTAATAACAATGTGCGAATATTACATACATATATTGTCATACACGAAAGTATCTTTGAAATATTTAAATAAAAATATTGTATTTATGCCAAGATTGAAGGAATACATGCAGGAGGTATTAAATAATCATAAGTATGTACATATTTTAAATCCAGGTTTAATGTTTTTATTTCATATATTCTATACATTCTTTTATAAGATCATTATTTATTAATACGCTACGTAAGCTACGTATCCTGCTCAATCATATCCATAAGCTGCAGAAACTCCTGGGATGTAGCATCGACTTCAGCTACAGGCTCAACATACTCCTCGTATTCTGCTTCGGCATCATCCTGAGAAATTTACAAAAAAGTTAACACAAAATATATGTTGGAAGTGATTAACTGACCTCGAAGCCAAAACAGTTATTGGCATTGATCTTGGGCTCCCGCTTGACCACAACTTCGTTATCATCGTTGACTAGCTGGACGACCATAAACTGGTCATCGTCGCCTTGTAGCTCTACGGTAAATTCGTTTGCATCCGGCTCCTCCTTGATACGGAATGTGCCGGCTTGAGTGGTAAGTTCTCGGTGGACACGCGGAGCTCTTAATTGGCGATTTATAATAATTGGTTTACTTGACGAGCTCTGCTCGCGTTCTCTTATTACGACAGTTTTGTTTGCCTTTCTTGTTCTTAAGGTGGGTGCAGTAAAAGTTTCCTCAACGACTTCGCTGGGCTCTTCTTCCTCCTCGTCTACTTCCTGCAACTCAGTGAGCTCATACTGGTCATCGATGTCAATAGAAATGGCATCGCCCTTGCCAAGTGCCTCAATATCCGTGCCATTGACTAAAGTCACAATGCTGCCATCCGGCTGCAGACGGACGCTACGTCCAAGTTTTAGTTTAAGCTTCTCCTCGCGCGCATTCAGCGTATCATCGTGTGTTTCCATGTGACGCATCAGATTGCCCTTGTGTGTGAAGACACGCGAGCAGCTGGGACAGGAGTGCATCTTTTCACGCGGTTCCGGCGGCTTGTAGTCCTCGTTGTGCATTAGATTTACATGACGACGCAGCAGCTGACGCTGCCGGAACGCTTGTGAACACAAGTCACATTTGAAGGGCTTCGTGTCCGTGTGTATGAGCATATGCGAGTCCAGATGCCGCTGAGATACAGAAGCATAGCTACAGAGGCTGCAACGATAGCACTTCTCGCCCTCGTGCGACTTAATGTGAAGCTTATATTGATAACGATCGGGCAACTCCTGGCCGCAACGCTTGCAGATGAGCGGCTTATCCGAGGTGTGCATGTTAGCCATGTGGGTGCGCAGGTCAGCCTTGCGGCCACACGTGGTCGGACACAGAGTGCACTGAAAGACTGGCTTGTCTACCACGCTGTGGATGAGTTTGTGTGCCTTGAGGGAGTTGGACTGCGTAAAGCGTGACTTGCATATGTCGCATTGATACTTCTTTTCGCCTGTGTGTATAACCAGGTGACGCTTCAGCTTAAACATGTCCTGCGAAGCGTAAGTACAGTGCGGACACTGGTACGGACGCTCGCCTGTATGGCAAGTCATATGGCGGCGCAGCTTTGTTAACTCAACGCTAGCATAGCTGCACTCTGTGCACTTGTGCGGCTTCTCCTTGGTGTGTTTGTAACGTGTATGTCGTATGAGCTCTCCGCTGGTCGTGAACGCGCTCTCGCACAGCTTGCACTTGTGCGGCTTGTTGCCCATGTGTGTGTTCAAGTGATTGACCAGACCCATGTTGGACTTAAAGCCACGCTCACAGATCGAACACTTAAATGATAGTTCCGAGTCGTGAGAGCGGACGTGGCGTGATATTAGGAATTTCTTATTGGTCGTATAGCTGCAATGGGAGCAGGCGTACTTTTGCGATCCAGCCGAGTTGCTTGCCGCCGGCTTTAGCTTGTACTGATTGCTGCTAAGCACAAAGTCAACGTCTGATCTGGCGGACATATTGGCTGCATTGTCGTCAAATTCATAGACCTCATCGTCAGAGTTATCTTTGCTCGCGGTTGGATCGTCGCTTTGATTTGTAGTATTTGCATCATTTACCGCGACAGTTAGCTCCGATTCGTCAAGAGAAACGGAAGATGCATCAACGACACTTGGATCATCCACAAGCTCTTCGAATTCCACCACCTTTTTATTGAAGGACTCCGACTCTGGCTCTGATTTTGTGGCCTTAGCTGAGTTTTTCGTGTTTGCGGAACGTAGATATGCTTTGGGTGTGCTGGCGGTAACTGAAGTCGTCTTCGCGGGCGTTCTCTTTGGAGGAGCGGGGCGTACATTAATTGCTTTAGGCGTTCTTTGTGGCGGTGCAGCCGGTTTGGGCTTGGCTGGACGCAAATTAATGGCTACACAAAAGAAGAAATGGCTGTGAAAGCGGGTAACGTGGTGACTAAATCCACTGCAAACCTTTGGATGCTGTGCTACTGGCAGCACGCGAAGCGCTACGTATTGATATAGCTCCTGTTTCTGTAGTGTTTGAGGATGCTTGTGGCTTGAGTTTCTTTTTGAGCTGCTGTTGTTTTCTTGGTGTAGTTTTTATGTAGCAGTTGCCTTCGTCGTCAATAAAATACTTGTCGTCATCATCATCCTGGTCCTCTTGTTCTTCTGTCTCCTCGGCATCATCGTCCAGGGCTTCACCATTTGTCTTGGCATCTTTGGCATCAACGCTGCCTTCCTCGATTTCCTTGTGAAAGTTGATTAAAAAGGACTGCAAATCCTCCGAATCCGAGTCGCGCGTGCGTTTTGACATTTTGGCTGTAAGCATTGGCAATTTTTATAAATTTAGCGCCAAAAACGTTGGTGCTGGTGGCGACCTACAGCGGACATAAAGCGTCCAGCGACCCCAAGCGGCTATTGATTTCTCGCAGGGCCGAGCCTTAACAGATCTATCAATCAAAGCATATCTGTAGTTTTTTTTTGTTTAACTTACCTTGCTTAACACAGCTCTTATATTTGGCAACCTTTACTCACAAATTGAGTAGGCTGGACAATTGTGTTCTTTTTAATAATAAACTTTACTTTTAGTGCAAAGAATTTCCGTCAGAGGCGAAACAACAGCAGCTGCGCAAAAGATGGCGGAATGGCATAGCGTTGCCACCGCTCAGCAACAGCTGCTAACAGTGCCATTTTGAGTATAGTATGCTTTTTGAGAAGCAATAACATTTGGCTTGGCGCGTTAAATTAGGTATACCGTCCATAAAAAACGATGCATAACTTGTTTACGCTTTTAGTTTATCCGAGATATAAATAATTTCAATACAATATTTACACTTATTCGTTTTGCGGCCTTAAGAAATGGGTAAGCAATTCTTTGCAAATTTGCGGTTAGCGCCCTGTTTTATAATTCCTGGAACTTTTATGCCCACACTTGCTTCACAATCAAAAATGTTATGGAAAATAGTATAGAACCCAAAACAAATTTTATTTGGCGTTATTATAAGTTACAAGTGTTGAATTTTTACATATTGCTTATGTCCAATATTTATTATTAATATTATTGGTTTTAAGTTTAAATTCAAAATAAAAGTTAGTTGCATAGATCTTACCCACGTACATGAAAAAGTGTCCCACAAAACTGATGTCCCTTTAGCCCCATGCGAACATTTACTCTTAAACTTCATTCTCATACTAAATATCAACGTATCAATAAATGCTGTCGAAAGAAACAACGTTAGAAGAGCCACCCAATTACTTTTGAAGATTATTATTATAATAATTAAATATTTGTTTTGAATGCTGATGACGCCCGAATACTCACATACTCTGCCGGTTGGGTTAGCCCGCATCGTTTCTGTGTACTTTAGGCATAACAACTTTAGTATGAGAAAGAGATTAAGTTTAATATGCGTATTGGTGGTTTTTAACTACATATTTATGAGCCGCTACATTAGATTGCATTACAAAATTTTGATTTTTGTTTTTGAAAAATACGTACGTTAGGAAAGTCCTCATCGAACCCTACGGAATGAATCAACACAATCCTTTCATCAGCTACTGCTGCTGCTGGTGGTGTTGCTGCTGCTTGGACATACGTACCAATTTGTTGCTAATGCATTTCTAACGATTATAACAATACGCATACATACCAAACCAACAAACACTCCCAAAGAATAACCCAAGCGGGCGGTTACGACGACGAATACGTACCCAAATCTATGCACAATGAACGTATAATCGGGTATGTCTATCACATACTCATGTCTGTTATTAGCGAGATCCCTAGCTTTTCGAATGGGCTAGAGGATGGACGTTTGTTTGTTTGTATCTGTTTTTTTTTTTTTTTTTTAAATGTATTATGCACTCAATACGTACCCAGAGCTTTACGGCTTTTAGGCTGCAAAGTGACTTCAAGTAGAAAAACGCTTTAAGGTTACAATTTATAGTTTGAATGAGAGTGTGAGAGAGGCTTACCCTAACGGGCCGACAATACTCGTACAGCATTACGCACAGGGGGCCGACACGCCCCACAGCCGGGGGACCGTGCTGAGAGATATTATATATAGCTCAATTTGGTATGTTTTGTTGTATATTTGTTTGCTGGGCACAATTAGGACTGTAAAATTACGGGTTACTCGGGACATTCGGGCTCTACGTACCGTACATTTACAACTCAACTTGCCGGAGGGGGCGGCTGTCGAACTATTAAATTTTCATGTATTATTTACTTAACAATTTGTTTAAGTTTCCGCTTACAGTTTTTGTTTGTTTGTTTGTTTGTCTGTTTTTCTGTTAGTGAACACGGATGAAAATCAAAGATAAGGATTAATAATATTTTATAAAAATATCTATATTGCTGTCTAGCTGTGTATTTAAGTCATTTATTAATTAAATAATAATGCAATTAGTTAATTTCTGCTGCTCTATTGTTGGTTGGTATTTTGTTGTTGCTGTTGTTGTTGTTGTTTTGTTTTTGTTTTTGTTTTCTGTTGTGGTTGGTTATTAATGCTACGTACGTGCGCTGGACACTGCCGTGTGCAACTAGATTCCGTTGCTGCCTCTCCACATATTTAGCGGCGATGGCGTTCGCGGGAGAAGGAGCGTCGCCTGTTGCCGAAATTGTTGTTGTTGAAGTTGCGGCGATCGCGCGGCGAACGATCTCTCGAGCGGGAGCGACGTCTATCATTGCGACGATCATTCGGGCCACCGCCTCCTCCTCCTCCACCACCGCCTCCTCCGCCACCACCACCGAAACGTCCTCTGTCGTTGCGCATGTTACGATCTCTATCCCTTCTCACATCGCGCTGATCTCTATTATCGCGATTATCTCGAGCGTTGTTGTCGGGGCCACCACCACCTCCTCCTCCTCCTCCCCCACCTCCGCGTCCGAGGCCGCGCCCATCAGCTTCGCGTCCACGGGGCGCGGCTCGTTCGCTCTCAACTTCTCGTACATTGGCCCGCTCGGCGCTTCTATCGCTCGATCTGTCATTAGTTTGTTTTTCTGCATCGCGCTGCCGCTGGCGCTCCCTGGAACGAGAGCGATGTACACGCGATCGCCGGTCCAGCTCGCGTCCACCTACAAAGTACCGATTTCTGCCTCTGCCGTCCTCTTCGCGATCTGGTATCTTACCCGAGCGCTTAAGTTCTGCCTTGCGCGGTGCTGCTGTCTTTTCCAGCTCGATGAGCTTCTCGCGTATGGTGAGAAAGCCCAGATGCAACTTACCACCAAAGTGGTCCGCCAGACGGATATCATTGTCGTGTATGCCCAAGTAGGCGGAGCACACTTCGCAGACGCGTAGCTTCTGTTGCTGGTAGGTTGAGGCTGGCATTGAGGTTCTGTATTCGTGCTCGGCTTTGATCTTCTTGCCGCGCAGCTCGTCAATTTCCTTCATCAGTTCCATGCTGTCTTCCACTTCGCCAGCTTCTCCAAGTGCCTCGGCCTTGGCCAGCTTTTTGCCAATCTCCTCCGCCAGACTGTGGACTGCATTTGCCTTTTCGGCCACCTCGGCCGTCAACTCCTCCTGCGTCTCCTTCAGCCTTTGCTTAGCCGAATCTGTGCGTCGATCACAATCCGCAATGAATGCTTGCAGATGCTCCATGGCCTCGATATCGTAGTAGTAATCACGCGACTTGGACGCACTTTCGTAATCTGCACGAAAAGCCAGATCATGCACTTTGGGACACTCACCAAGATCCATGCGCGTGGATGCCAGGATGTCGTGTGGGCAACAGTCCAGCAGAAAAGACTTGCAGACGCGTGCATCTGAGAATTTGAGGCCGCGTCCATCGTCGCCGTTTCGCGTGGTACCCATCAATTGGTCCAGCATAGCACGCATCTGATCTGTTGCCGACATTTTGTTGCTCGGCGCGCTCATTCTGCAGGCCGACTTTAATATTTTCAATTGCCTTTTTCCAACTTAACTTGTGCTGGTGAAAAATAATAAGGCGAGTTGTACGGAAAAGTTCGATTGAACGATTCACTGAGCGGAACGAAAAACTGAGTCCCTGCTGTTAATAACAGTTCATTTGGCTCATATTTTTCTGCCACCTTGTCACTGTTTGATTTATGTTGTTCACTATTTGTGAACTGTTAATAATCAAAACACTATTTGCTTACATAATTTAATCTTAAATGAGCTATGTGAACGTTTTAAGCAGAGAACTTACACACAGGAAAAGTTTAGGCATAAAGTGGTGAATTAAACTAGTATGTCAATTTTATTAAACTGTTAACAGGCTCAAAGAACTGGTTTCTAACTCTAAATAGCCATGCAATAACAGAACAGTTACGATTACGGCTGTACACAACAAGTATTGGTACTTGAATATATCAACCCTGTAAAGATGGTAATTGTGTTTTCGATATATCGATGCGATAAACGTTTGCAGTGGCTTTTTGTTGTTTATTTCGTTGGCGTAATTTTTATTTTAAAAATTAATTATTTTGCATTAAAATATAATGTCCGATGACGACGATATCCAGTACATAAAGCGGCAGCGCACCTTGCATTATGGCTCGCTGGAAGAAACAGAACGCAAGCGGCAAACCGCCGCGGCGTCCTCTGTTGCCGGCACAACGCCGGCAGCAGTAACAACAACTACCGCCCAACTGGAAGACATTGATTCGGACGAGGACTATGAGGAATCTAACAAAAAGTCCAATGCGACAAAAGTCGCCATGCCACCGCCCACAGCCGCGTCGCTTGCTAACAAAATAGACGATGACTACTTCGATCTGGAGGGCGAGATGGAGCGCGACAAGGTGGCGCTCCTGGAGGAGTTCGAGCGAAAGAAGCGCGCTCGCCAAATAAACGTATCCACAGACGATTCCGAGATTAAGAACAATCTTCGGCAGTTAAACGAGCCAATTTGCTACTTTGGTGAGGGCCCAGCGGAGCGACGCAGACGCCTCAAGGAGCTGCTCGCCAGCCTGGGCGAGAATGCCATCAAGCAAAAGCAAACCGAGGAGGAGGAGCGCAAGTTGCAGCAAAGAGAGCAGGAGGCTACCTGGTACCACGAGGGACCCGAAACACTGCGTGTGGCGCGCCTTTGGCTCGCCGACTACTCCCTGCCACGTGCTCGCGATCGTCTGGAGCGTGCTCGGGAGGCGCTCGAAGTGCCCAGCGCCACGCGAGCCGGTCGCATGGTGGAAATGCAAAAGAAGCTACAATCCCTAGCGCCGCTGTGCTCGCAGGTGGGCGATACGCGGCCCGTCAGCAGCGCTGCATTCAACGAGGACTCCTCCCTTCTGATGACGGCCTCATGGTCGGGCCTGTGTAAGCTATGGAGCGTGCCCGACTGCGAGCTGAAGCAAACGCTGCGCGGTCATGCCAGCTACGTGGGCGGCGTGGCGCTGCGGCCGGGCGTCAAGCTAGACGAGCAGAATGTAGTGGCCATGGCCTCGGGCGGGCACGACGGTGCCGTCAAATTGTGGGGCTTTGGCAACGAGGAGTCCATCGCTGACATAACGGGACACATGCCGCACCGCGTATCAAAGGTGTCGTTTCATCCATCGGGCCGTTTTCTGGCCACCGCTTGCTATGATTCCTCGTGGCGTCTGTGGGATCTGGAGCAGAAGACTGAGGTGCTGCATCAGGAGGGACACGCCAAGCCGGTGCACTGCCTCAGCTATCAATCGGATGGCAGTGTCCTGGTCACCGGCGGGCTGGATGCTTTCGGACGTGTTTGGGACCTGCGCACAGGACGTTGCATCATGTTCCTCGAGGGCCATTTGGGCGCCATATTCGGCGTAGACTTCTCGCCCAATGGCTTTCATATAGCCACCGGCTCGCAGGACAACACCTGCAAGATCTGGGACCTGCGTCGTCGCCAGCCCGTCTACACCATACCAGCGCACACAAATCTCATATCGGACGTGAAGTACCAGCAGGATGGCGGCAGCTTTCTGGTCACCTGCTCCTACGATTCGACAACGAAGATCTGGTCGAACAAGACGTGGCAGCCGCTCAAGACACTGCAGGGCCACGACAACAAGGTCATTTCCGTCGACGTCTCCCCCAACTCGCAGTACATAGCGACCACCTCGTTCGATCGCACCTTCAAGCTGTGGGCGTCGGATAGTTGATTTCCATACATACATACATGCTATATATGATGCATACATCGGCTGCTTATAGCCCCGATTTGTTATAAGCTCAATTTGTATTTACTGTTTTCGTTGAAACACAATAGCCCAAACGTTTTTTTCAATCTTTCACCTTTCAGTTTTATAACACAATTTGTTATTTTAGTTAGGCGAAACAATGCATTTCGTACGTTTAAGACTTTTGTATAGAAATTGTTAATAAAAAAAAAACAACATTTTGGTACAAACGAAAAGTAATTAATTAAATATAAAGTAAAAATTATTTAAAATTGTAAGTCGGCTTTTGCCTGATAGATGTCTCTGATGTATACAAGTTGTGTTGCTGCCACCTAGTGCAATTCTCTAAATAATACTGAGTACAGTTACTGGCTACAAAAACTCGCAAGATGCCACTTAATAACGATTAGCCTTGCCGCTAGATGCTGTCAACCAATTCGCCGGGTTGATAACATGGCTAAATAGGCTTATATTATTCAAACTGCTGGCAAGTGTTCTCAGTATTCTTGTCACATCCACAAGATGGCGTTAAATTGCCCCTACGAGTGCTGCCAAATCAGTTCAAAACGAAGTTTCATAAAATATACGCAGTTCCCAAAAATAAATCGGGTATTTAAAATGTTAGCACTTCAAGCATTTATGACGCTTTCAATTTTTATTAGTATTATTTATTTTATTAACATTTTAACCGGCTCCCTAATAAGACGTTTTGGCCAAACAACGCAACTAGATCATTAAAAACAAACGGCTTGCATTTCATTACCGAGATCAGGTTTAGCCCGTGCCACGTACCTACTGAAGATGAAAGCGTTACGAAAATCAGATAAAGACGTTTGCAGGTAAATTGCTTGATTGTGTGTTTTAAATTGTTAACTTCTTAAAATTGAGCCATTAGGACAAATCGCAATTGCGGCACACTCAATGTGCTTGGTATCAATTGTGAACGAGGCTTAGACGCTAATTGAATGGGCAAAAGCCCACAGCATTGCAATATTTCTATTTGTTATTGTTTGTTAGCTCAACTCGTCTTTATGCAAATCAGGTGGAAGATGAGATTTCAGATTTCAGCGGAACAAGTTTAGGCTCACATTGGCGACGGCTTTGTTTTACGTTCGAGTTCAGGCCACGGCCTAAACTGAATTGCTTAAAGTGTTCAACTGGCATTTATTTGATTTGATTTTTTATTTATTTTTTTTTTACAATTCCAGCCATGCAACAGGTGCACTCTTTTACACGTGCTGATAAAGGCCAAAAATGTGTGTTTGGGCAAAAAGTGTATGCAGATTTCAAGAGGCTGACAAGTACGTATACATAATTAAGCAGCGCGTGTGAAAAAAATGCACAATAACCAATCCGAGGCCAGTGGCTATTAAACAGATTACATGTCGGCGCTAAGAGCCGTTTAAGCCCGTCGACAGCCACGATAACAACACCAGCTGGAAGTGCAATGCGACAGCAGCGCGGGGCGGAGCCAACAAGCGTGGCAATAACAACGTGCCCAGACAAACAGATGAATGCTCAGGCATGCGGCTGCCAACGAGCGAAAGAGCAAAAGGGATAAGTGCGAGGGGGGGGGGGGGGCAATGCAACTTGTTCGGCGCCCGCTGGTTTGTGTGTGTGTGCTCTGGAGAGGGCCCACATGCGAGTCGCTGGTGCTTGTATAAACGATTGGCAGCCGGCAAACAAACCATAGGCCGACACAGGCACCGGCTCAAAGATGACAACGAGACAGGGGCGCGTTGCCTGGCGACTGCCATCAACAAGGGTATCTGACTAGGAGCTACCCTATGCCCAAGTTTGCAATGCTTCAACAAACGCATTCTCGTAATATATCTGAGATATGCACAGAAAAGTATTGAAAATCGATATTTATCGATTCGGGGGAAATGCAAAGTGCTACAGCAACAAATTGATCGACGAAAGCTTGATACTAGCTAGGAAAAACAATGTTTATTGAACCGCAAAAGACTCCTGCCTGTTACACGCACTTATCTGAGTGCAAAATGCCCATTTTATGCACGACATTTGGGTACAGGGTATTATAACGCGGGCCCACGATAAGAGAAGCGCTCTTAAAAATAAAGTTTGCCTGCTATGCGTATACGTAATGTCGTGTTGATAACGCGTTCAAAAAACAACACACACACTCACACCCACACTCATCCTTACAAAAACGCAGCACTACAGGCGAGCATAAGGACACTCGAATGCAGTGGCCGGCAATGTTACGCATACGCCACGTGTGACGCTGACGTTGCTGCTGGCGTCAACGGCGACGCCGGCGTCATTTGCCGGCATAAGCTCACGTTTGCTCGCTGCTCTCCCACTCTCTGGTTCTCTCTCTCTCTTTCGCTCCTATGGCGCCGGCTGGCGTCAACAACTTGTATGAATGTGTTTTCTATTATCCGGCTTTTTTGCTGTTTAACGCCAGGGCCTACTACCCTTAGGCCCACAGGCCCCCACCGCCTACTGCTACTGCAGCCCTCGCCCCCTTTCTTTGTTTTTGCAATTTGTATCAACTGCTTTTCAAATTATTTATAGAATTTTAAATGAAGCACAGGTGCGCCGCTTATAGCATATACAAACATGTATGCTAGTTGGATAGATAGATATGTTATAGTTGTTGTTTAGCTCGAAAATTATGCTCAGTTTTATTACTTGCCAGTTTCGTATGAATATTTAAAGCAACATGCGAGGCACCTGTGGGATCTCTCAACTGGTCACACTGTGTTACACCCCCCCACCCACTATTTGGACTTAATTTCATTTCAGCTAGTGTATGTAAGTTGTTTTTGTGACGTTATCGGAACGGAACTAGTCTTTAACGAATTTTAAAGACTCGGAAATTCTGCAAAACTATTCTCTATAATCAGTCATAAACATGTTTGCATATATACATATATACATATATATATTTTTGTAAGTCATATTTGTATACTCTCTGCCGCTATGTATACAATGCGTTTCAAAAAACTCAGTCGAGAACAGTCGCTGGCGTCAACGGCAAAGCCAACGTCTACGTTGGCGTCAGCGTCGACGCCCGTTTGGCCTGGTCGACGCTGGCGCTGGCTGACTCTGCCGCCTCAGTCTTTCTTGTGACGTTCAGCCGGCTGGTCGCTTCGTAGGCGGACATACGACACACGCGAATTTTGTGCCAACGGCTTTTACGCGTGCGTTTCTTATATTTTGTGTTTCTTTGTCTGGTCCCACAGTTTGCGTTGTAAATACGAGCGTAGCAAAATGTCTTCATTTTCGTTTTCGTTTGAATAGTTTCAATATGTGTATGTGTGTGTGTGTGTGTGTGCGTTATATCTTGCCGGTTGTTGCTGGTTGTGTGCACTTGTCCGTTAGTCTGCTCTAGTTCAGTTTGTGTTTTGATTTCGCGCTTTCTTTATTCCCGCATTTCCTTTCCAATTGTCGCATCTTTGTTTTAACTTCAACTGCCGTTGTTGTATAAAAATCTTTTGTTTTAGTTTAGCAATAAAATGCATAATTTATATGCGCCCCGCCGTTGGGCCACTGTCAATGCCATTTCCGTGGACTGTCCCATTGTGGCTTAACGATCACTAAACACTGACCGCAATGTATGAAAGTGTGTGTGTGTGTGTGTGTGTGTGCGTGTCAAGTGTCGCGTCGCGTTTCCACGAGTGAAATATTCCAATACCATTGAAGCTATTTTCCATTCATAATTTTAATCGATTTGCAGCCGCGTCTGCCATGTGAAGTGAACTAAAGCAAAAGTATCTAAATAATAAAGAGATACAATTGATATAAAAAAGTTCATGAAATTAAGCCCCTAAATAAAGTCAACACAGACACTGTCAACGTCAACGTCAGCCACATCCGTATCCGTCTCCGTGTCCGTATCCGTGTCCTCTCAAGGCGCCTGACAGCGGTACGGAATCGGAAGCTGTTGCCCAGAATTATGCAGCATTAGGCACGGCGCGACAGAGTCCGAGATATCTAGAACGTGTAAGCATTACGCACACATTTATATTTTGGAGCTGAGGTAAGTCAATTGATCGTCTATTTTTATAGATTACCTTTAAAAGCAATTTGTGCTCATAAATGAATTACGCAAGAACAAAAACACTTGAAGTCAGTTCCCAAAACGCCTTCCGGCTGCCCGCTGAATGCCATTTATTTGCGTCTATTGTTTATTGGCCAAATCATTATCTTTGGGGATCGATAATTGTTATTTACCCACTAAATACTGAGCGCAGATTTTATAGTCTTTACTTAAGCACATTTTTAAATATGTATAAGGCAGCTGCTGCAGCATCTTGTGCTGATTTCGCACGCTCCTATCAATTCATTCATTCATTCATGGGCCAAAGAGTGAGGATGTGTGGATGAGATGGGATGGGAATGGCAACAGCAGAGAAGTGAAGTGAAGAGAAGAGCAGAGAAGAGACAAAGGCAAACAAAATAGTATGAGCCGTAAGGAAACGACGACAACGAGCTGAAAATAAATTATGCATATTTGCGCGGCTTATTTAAGAGTACATATTTGCATACGAAATCCACTGCCGATACAACTCTTGTATACCCTGTATCAATGCGTCAAGTTTGCTTGCCACACAAATTACAGCAGTATGACATATACTTACATAACATAATGATATATGCATTAAATCATTGAGTGACAGAGATTTATGCAATTAACGCGTTATCAACTTGTCAATTCATGATTCATCTGCTCAGATTGTTTGGCCAGTATGTCAATTGCATTTCATATAAAGCAAGCCTTGAATTTCCTGAAAGTGCATTGATTGACTGGGTATCTAAGCGTATACCCCGTGTTTTGTATGCCTCCATAAAGGGCATCAGGGCACAAGCGTATCGGATGCAAGCGCGACGGATGCTCGTAACTGTGATTTTACGAAATCTAAAACGATTCACAATATACACAGCTGCATATATATGTTTGTCATACGGATATCTATGTCTTTAAATATGCCAATTGCTGGCTTTCACTGGGATTTATGCTCTTTTTCTTTAAAAATTTGAGTAGTTCGCACCTTGTCGCATCAACTTGATTGATTTATTAAGCGTACTAAATGCTGACAATAATACGGAAAGCAACTTGTTATTAGCTTACGAAGCCCAAGTGTCATTCACAAATTTATTGATTCACAATAATTGCTCACTTCAGCTCTAAAACACGCACACCACACACACGCACACACACATGCACAAGCCTTTTTTATGGTTGTCTCGTTTTACGGCCGAAACGGTAATAAGTCTAGGCAAAATCTTGTTTAACACATTGTGCTTGAGAGAAGAGAAAATCGAGAAGTCGAAGATAACATACCCTGGCAGGCATAGATATTTTAGATATTTGCAATTTATTGAAATAATTACTTAGCTATTCATCGGATTGTTTCTCTACGAGCTATTTAAAACGTCAGCTGCTTAAAAGATGTCTTTATTGTCAGTTATATGAGATAAGGGTCTAATCTGGTTGAATGTGAATGGATTGCTTGCTCCAGCATACGGACATCTATAATATTGATAGACTGACTAGCTAGCTTAGATGTTGTCAGATGGATATATGCTATCTTTATCATCTTAGCAGGTCCTGGTCATGAACAGGAGTATATAGAAACTGAACCAATTCCCAAATTGATTTAATATTCAATTTACATTTCAATTTGTGTTTTGTGCTTTGGCAACTATGTATTTGCCCTTCTCAATATTCGCACACCTGCTAAACAACTTGTCGTGCTGTTAAATTTGGAATGCGGGTTTCGGCTTACTTATTTTAATTAAAAACGATACTTTTGCTTCCTTTTGCTGCAGGAGCTGGGACAGGCGCATGGGGCTGGGGCAGGTGCCCTGCCAAAGCGGGACAACTTTGAAAAATGTTGGTTAAACATTTGTGACTTCTGCATAACATATATATTTGTGTTTCTGTGACATGCATAACAATTTGGGCCATTGTTGTAGTTGTTATTTCGCCTAATTCTCTGGAAGCCAGCAGCATTTGTAAAACAAACGTACTTTGATGTACGACACATAAAACATCTGTATGTTGCGATGTTTCAAAGGGAACAGCGACGACTAAATTAGTTGGTTGTGCCAGGAGTGTGGCTGGGGTATGCGGCAGCTCCTCTATAGAAGCGGAACTTGTACATATAAACTTTATGCGAATTCAAGGGGTGATACGACGAGCCGAACCTGGGCCTAGTGTGAGCTACGTGCTCGCCAGCTAGTTGATAAAGAAATATTAGTCAATCTGCCATAGAGAGGAGATGCTGTCGGCAATAACTGCATTTAGAACTTGTGACTCACTGAGCAACTCATAGTCCATCGAAAGTGAAAATATACAATTATAATTTACATTCAAATTGCTGCGATCTCTATGCATGCAATTTGGTTCCAATGACACTTGGCTAAATGCTGCGGACATGGGAAGTGCTGACTCAGCTGAAAGTGACGACAGGCGGGCAAAACAATAATAACAAGACAATGTTGTAATAGACACATAGAACTCGACAAGCTTCCAATTGGGTCACTTCTGAATGGGCTGCAGCTGGGAGTCGCACTTGCGAAATATTTAAATGAGGAACATGCGCGTGGCCAAACGGCTGAGCAAATTGGACAACTTGTTGCTTGACTTTGACTAACGCGCGTTCACAATTCGAATTGACTGTGACTACACAAAATTCCAGCCCATCATCCACAGACACTCTATCCAACAGTGTGTCTCCGCATCGCAACCAAACCCAAGCGCTCCGCTGCTAATGCAATCAATATGCACGATGTTGGCTCCTCTAACCAGTGACCAGTCGGGCGGGCAAATCTGGTAGCAGGGGCGGTGCCAATAATTTGCAGGCTCAGCATTCAAAGTGGCTCTGTAAAGTATGGCAAAATATGAGACGAAGTGCATTACAGAATAACAGGTTTGATGAATCAACAAATCGAACTACCCAACAACTGAAAGACGTGCCCCGACATTGTTGGCATAAACATATTTGAATATATTATGCACATAATCGTGGAAAAAGATTTAGTTTCGGTATCGGTATTATGTAAACGATAACGCGTGAGTTATTTGTGGGCGGCGTACAGGCTTTTTGATTAGGCCCTAGTAGACCAAGTCTTAGTCGCATATTTGGCTAATAACAATTTCGCTTTCCCACGACAAGTTGGAATCTAGCCGCTGATAAAGTTGTTAGGGCTGTGCACGCATTTCCTTAACAAGAAATATAAATAGAAAAATTATAAATTTAAATTACACATTTAATGGCTTTCGCTTGTCAAATACATTGTGCTACATTTATTTTGACTTTAGCTAGTTTCATGTTAAACACATGTGAGACTTAAAATTAAATAGGCCCTGTCTATATGAGTTACAATACGAAACAGACTTTACAGTTCGAAACGGCATGCCGTCATGGGTTGACCTTCATGAAAAAAGCGAATGCGAATGCGTATGCTCATTTATTCATCCTCCATGCCCATTCCTGCCTCTCAGGTCAATGTACATGCGCGCATCATAATGGAACACATATGTACTAAGTATATGTGGATTTGCTAGTGTAGGGGGCATCATATTTTGTAAATAACTGAACATTTGCGCACGAATCGAACACGTTTTGTTCTTTTTGTTATTGCTGTTTATGTTGCACTTGGCATTGCACCCTGTTGCCCACGCACATTGTGTGCCTCTTTGTTGCGGGCCCGAACAATGGGCATTGTCTCAGGCTGGGGATATGAATGCCCAATAGCCACAAAGCATTGACAGCAATAAAACAAAATGAGCCTCAGAACAACGCTTCATTTTATGCATTAGATGCATTTATAATTTTCAGTTGATTCGCATTTATTAAAAATAAAAAAAAAAATATACAAAATCGTTAGCTTTGTAGTCTAATAGTCAATTTACTGGCCTGTCAGCTGTCGCTCGAGTGTCATTTAATTGCCCTTGCGAAAGTCTTAATAACAGATATTTAATATATTCATAACGCTTAGCGCCGTCACCTGTGCAGGCGCCTCTGACTGGCCCGCCCACCGTTCAATAAGGCAATTGTTGCGACTGTCCGTTTAAAAGAGTCGGCCAAAATCAAAGCCCAAGTCAGAGACAGATCCGACCAGACCAGTGCAATTTTATTTCGTCGCTTATCTGGCCAGCTGAATCGCAAGACAATTAGCCAAATGAGTTGGCATCGATTTGGACCGGCTCTGGACACTGGCCAGGCAGCACCCGTGCCAAAGCTTAATTAATTGTCATGCATTGTTTGCGTCTTGTCTGGCGCCGTTGATTTGGCGGCATTCCAACTTGGCGCACAGATCGGCGCGATTTGATGGCGATTGATAAGGCTGTGTGTAAAGTCGGTAGCTGGAGTTTAATTTTTAAATGCGAACCGAATGTTCCAATACCACATTTCTGTTGCTGTTGATTTAGACATTTTGTGTAAATTGTCATAAATCTTTGCATGAGTTTTAATGTTGCAATGCGTTCATTCAAAATATGCGGCCTGACTTGCGGCTCAGCTGCTGGCGATTGTGGTTGTCCTCTAGCTGTTTGGCTTTGCTAACTATGTATGTTGCCAGTTAGCCCGAAAGCCAGCCAGTTGCAATTTATGCGAGTTATGCAAACTCATTTATTGGACATCAATTTGACGTAATGGGAATTAGTATATATACAATTTGTGGACTAAACTTGTTTATCTGTGTGCAGGGTCTGTATTTATATTGTCGGCGAGTCATTAAAGTCGAGTTATCAAAGTCGTAAAATGGCCAATGAATCACTTGCAGAGTCTGACAAAATGATGTTGTTTGACTTAGTTGAAATTCGATAGACATTATAGCTTCAGGACAGATGAATTGGATGCTAGTTGGCTGTCAAAATGTATGTCATGGACAAAGGGAGACACTTTCAACAATATAAAGTGTGTGTAGTCTGGCTTAGGATATCGCTCGAAAGGAATCTATGTGTCCATATGCAAGTTGAGTACATTTTGCATATATGTATCTTGATGTAAAGAGAACCCATATTGATTA